AGGCACTATTACCCACAATTTCCCCACTTCTCTTTTGAAAGACAACTGACTGAGAGGATGTCCAGCAAATCTATTTTCATTCATCTAGCTTAGAAACCTTGCTAAGGGATGGGATGTTTTGGCTTGCCAGCAAATCTAAATCCTCTGGTATTCTTTCAGTGTTCTTAACATCCTTTCTGCTCATATGTGTGTATGCATCTTTGGATTCCTGAGTTTAAGCATGGCTGGCATGAAACTTGAAAATGCTTTCCTAAAACTCATTTTCACCTCGTTACTATCTGCCTGCCCTTTTTTTTTCTGTATTCCTCCAGGATCTCTTCTAGCTTTAAATCCTATGATGCTACGATTCCTTCCAACCCCACTTTTCATGTCTAAGGGACTCTAAGAATCTGTTTTCTCTCATCCCTGCTCCACTGGGGTCATGACCATTGCAGATGCAACAAATGCATTCCGTTTTCTGCATTTCAGAAGCTTCCTATGACTACAACTGCACCTAGTCTGGTGAGGTTTCTAAGCCTTTCTTAGTTTTAACTGGGTCGGTTTTGATTCAGTTAGTTTGTAAACTAATAGATTCATTCACCCACATTCATTCATTCATTAACCGAGGTGTCTACTATGGGAATTGCAGGTGTTAACCTGGGTGATCCCACAACTATAGCTTCCTGTTTCAGAGACTGTTTATTTTCAGTTTTTGTCCTATCCATATTTCATTCTGTTCTTTTATTTTATTTTTAACTTAGGGAATAAAACATAGTATAATATGTATCACATAACATAGTATAATAGTATACATATGTAGTATAATAAACAGTATACAAAAACATAACAGTATGATAAATACAGTATAATAAAAACATAGTATAACATTATAACAGTACAATTAAAAAAAAGATGGTTGAACATAAAACTGCAAAGGTACTATATACAACCTATTCCTTTTAATATACAACAGAGTTATTGCATGCATTTCTTTCTTCTTTCCCCCCCCCCCCCTCCTCCATAGTTTTCATTTCTACCTTCCCCTCTGACTTGGATGACCTTGGGGCAAATCCCTTGCCTCTCTCAGTGGCTGTTTCCTCACCTGTGAAGTAGAGAGTTTTCCCTCCCAGGAGTTTTGTACATTGCGGTATTCTTATCTGTAGTGAGAAATTTTGGAAGTGGAGTATTGTTCCATACTGCCCAGAGTGGAGCCATGTATTGAACATTTTCTCTATGTTCTGGTCTTATACCACATTGACATGGTAGACTGTTGAGTCTGGGAGGCAAATATAATTTTCAGGTCATCTCCTTCATTAAATTACTATAGAAAATACTGGGGTGTAATTCAATCCATACTTATCAAGGCTGAGAATCCATATCCTTATTGACATAAATACTACTTGAGGATATATTTTCATTTCATTCATCTATGGTCTTGAAATGGCTTCCAATAACATTACCATAGAAGGCTCCTACAGTTTGACTATACTCTTGATATATTTAACTCCTATGAATTCTATCATTTCAATCTGATCCATCTAGATGTGGAATCTGGTCTCCAAAGCACAGATTGTGTATTAATCACATATGACCCTGTCAATCCTATAGAACAACATGAGTATTGATGTGGTTGGCATCCTCTATGATGAATTCACAGCTGTTCTCGAGTTTCACAAGTCATCCTGTGGTTTATGATCACATCTGCCATTGTGTGTGACACAAATACCAAGTCCCTTAAGATTCCCAAAGAAAATCATGGTTTACTTTAATTTAGAATTTTCTTTACTCAAGATTAAAAGCATAATTTTAAAAGTAATAAGAAATATACCACTAATAAAGAAGATATTCTTGGAAGCCTTTAGTACAGATTGGTTTTGTTTTGACTCTGGTTTGGACCTGTGATTTTTAAAGTGTAGGATACTCCCAGTGTGGAAAGTCCTTCCAACAATGCAGGTCTGTATCTCCTCTATAAATCACAGCCTCCAGGCACTGAGAGGTTCAGTAACTTGTCTACGTTCACACAACCAAGATACGTCAGAGGCAGGGCTTGAACCTTCATCTTATACAATGTGGCCCAATGGAGACTGGGCCTGGAGTCAGAAAGACTTGTTTATTGATTTTAGAAAAACATGGATAGATTTGCACGAAATAAGGAAGAGCGAAATGAGCAGAACCAAGAGAATATTGTATATAATAACAGCAATATTGTTTTAAGAAGAACTTCGAACAACTAAGTCATTTTGATTATTATAAATCCCCAAATTAACTACAAAGGACATATGAAGGAAGACACTATCTGCAGCTAGAGAAAGAACGAATAAATAGAAGTATGTATACCATGATTTTTACATATACACACATTTATTTGTGTCTAATGGTATCTCTAAGGTGGGGTGGGGAGGGAAGAAAAAAATGAAAAAAAATGCATATGATAAATTTATTATATATTTAAAAGGCATAGCAAATTGTACATAACAGATTTGTAGTTTCATGTGTAGTCATCTTTTTATTATTTTACTATGTTATAGAAATGCTTGTTTTATTTCATAATTAAAAATAAAATAAATAAAACTAAAAAAAAAACCCAAACCAAATCTCACTCCTTGTGCTTACTACCTGGGTGACCCTGGGTAAATCATCTAACCTCTTTGAGCATTAGGTTCCTCATCTGAAAATCGGGAGGGTTGTGAAGATCCAATGGCTAATGTATGTAAAGGGCTTTGCAAATTCTAAAAGACTTGATGTGTCCATAATCTTCATCACTTGGTACTAGTTCAAATATATGAGTAGCAGTTCAAAGTTTCTCTTACTCTCAGATTTGTTCTCTTAGAAGGGCATCTTGGAAGTAATTTCCTTCAACCCACTCATTTCTTTTTCTTTCTTTCTTTCTTATTTCTTTCTTTCTTCCTTTTGTTTTTCTTTCTTTCTTTCTTTCTTTCTTCCTCTCTCTCTCTCTTTCTTTCTTTCTTTCTTCCTCTCTCTCTTTCTTTCTTTCTTTCTTTCTTTCTTTCTTTCTTTCTTTCTTTCTTTCTTTCTTTCTTTCTTTCTTTCTTGCTTCCTTCCTTCCTTCTTTTCTTCTTTTCTTCATTTCTCTTTCTTTCTTTTTTATTTTTGAGGCAATGAGGTTAAATGACTTGTCCAGGACCACTCAGCTAATAAGTGAATGAGGCTGGATTTGATAACCCACTCATTTCATGAATGAGGAAACTGAAGAATAAAAAAAAATTAAGTGAAGGGAGACAGGATGGGAAAGGATAAAGTGCACTGAAATGAGAATTAAAAGGCTCAAGTTCATTCTGCCATTAACTCACCATGGGACATTGAGGAAGTCACTTACCTTCTCTGAACCTTACTTTCTTCATCTGTCAAATGAAGGCTTTGACGATAGGGTCTCCAAGGTACCTTCTGTGCTCCAGAAAAAGCCATGATGCCCCAACTTGTTTGGGGGTCACACTAATAGGGAGGGGCAGAGGTAGGGTCGAGGGCTCCTAACGAGAAGTCAAGAAGAAGGAGACTTTTCCAACAGTAAAAAGACATAAACAAGGAAGCGCTGAGGGTTGATCTTTCACGTACATCCATATTTCTAGATAGTCCGACGCATGCGCGCGCGCGCACACACACACACACACACACACACACACACACACACACGTAAGAGCTTTCACGGCTTTGCCTAATGTCTACAGCCTGGTCCTGATCAGTGCCAATAATGAATTCCAGAAGTGATCACATGTATTTGAATTTGTACTATCCAATGTCATCATTACATAAAACATGGTAACTGGTTCCAGCCCAGTTGGGTTGCACCCTATGAGGTGCAAATTTTAATAATTCTTTTGTAATCAACAATGTATTTTTATTTATAATTTTATCACCATTTTCAAAACCTTTAGTCCTTGAGAGTTCAAATTTCTTCAATTATTTTTATTTCACACCTTAAAGTCAGGCTTCAGATTTTTTTCCCCCCACACATTCATTAATAATGTGGTAAGCAAGAGAAAAGTGCTTCTTAAATTAAATAGACACAAAACCAGCCTTTAAAATAGAAGTGTAAACAGGAGTACAATTAATGAAATTATTCATTATTCTTCCCCATTTTGGACAATAACTAGAGTCTGATCTTTATAATGCATGAATTGGTGTACTAGGTATGTTCAGCGCTTAGGGGATTTACATTGGAGCTTGGAAGGTGCTAATTCTAAAAGGATTTATGAAAACGTTTTCATTAAAACATTACAGGGGCAGCTAGGTGGCACCACAATGCAGAGAGCACTTGCCCTGGAGTCAGGAGGACCTGAGTTCAAATCCAATCTCAGACATTTAACACTAGCTGTGTGACCCTGGGCAAGTCACTTAACCCCAACTGCTTCACCCCTCCAAAAATATTGAGGAGGATGGAGGATTACCAACATCATGGCCTCACCAGGCAGCGAAAAAGAATGACACCATGTAGGAAAATAGCTTCAGAGCTGGAAGGGAATTTAGAGACGCTTTAGTCCAATCCTTTCATTTCGCAGATTAAGGGACTGAGGCCTAGGGAACCGATTTGTCCAAGAGGCACCTACAGTGGATAGAGTGCTGGGCATGAAGTCAGGAAGACCTGAGTTCAAATTTGGCCTCAAACACTTACTAGCTGTGTGACCCTGGGTAAGTCACTTCACCTCTGTTGGCCTCAGTTGCTCCAACTGTAAAATGGTGATGATAATAATAGCAACTACCTCACAGGGTTGTTTTGAGGATCAAATGAGATAATATTTGTAAAATGTGCCTAGCACAATGCCTGATTTGTAGTAGGCACTAGATAAATACTTATTTCCTTCCCTTCCCCTTCTAAGATTACACAGGTAGTATATAACATGGTTGGGAATCCAACCTATCAACTCTGATTCCAAATCTACCATGAGGTTTATGCTATGAGACATGATCATAACACACCACTGTGCCCCATAGTGCAGGAGGGAGTCACATGCACAGATCCATCCCGTTTGGAATGACTGTAATGGTGCCTTTGCCTTAGTTCTTCTAGGTGTTACAAAGGAGATGAGAACACTGGATATGAAGGTCTGCTGCTGTGGTAAAGGTCTCCCAAGAGCTCCCAGGTAATTTTGCCTTGGTTTTGGGACTGGAAGAGGGGGCTGATGTGACTATACTTTTTGCTTTTGATATCACGGGAATGAAGAAAAGCTTCTTGGAGCAGGGAGAGAGGCCCAAGAGAGCCTAGAGAGAGTGGAAGACGTGATGGAGGCAGTTGTCATGAGGAGCCGAGATTCCTGAGACCAAGGCAGTTTGATCAAATTATGTAGGAGATAGAGCAGACTCTCTCATCACTCAAACAAGTTAGAACAGCACATCACAGCCAGCAAATGCCATCCTTCCCAATCTTTCCCCTTACCTTCATTCTTTTGTTAAATTTTATTTTTCCCAACTACATGTAAAAACATTTTTAACATTCATTTAAAAAATGTTGAGCTACAAATTTTCTCCCTTTCTCCCTCCTTCACTTTCCCACTCCCTGAGACGGTAAGGAATTTGATACAGGTTATACATGTGCAATCATGCAAAACACATTTCCATATTAGTCATGTTGTGAAAGAAGACACAGATCAAAAAGCTTACTCTGATTCTTAAAAGAATCTTGTTATTTTTTTCTTTGTGTTTTTTTTTGTGTGTGTGTATTTGTATTTGAATATTTACTTTGTCTAATGTTTACTTTTCCTGAAGTGAGCAATATTTTTTTTTGGGGGGGGGGGAAGCTGCTAACCACCACCATTGTAAATCTGTGAGTATTATTGTTGGAATACAGTTGAGAGGTGATTGAGGAGATTCCTGGGAGAAGCAGATATTAAACTGTAGTATTTTGCCAAAGTTCACTCTCTGGCTGGGGGTTAGAGCTATCAGAGAGAGTTATTAGTTTGTTTTTGATCATTTCTTCAGAATAAAGAAGAGAGATTCCTACAGGTGGAGGTAGCAGTAGTAACTGGGCCAGCAGTGCAATTCGGCTTCCATTTTTCCTCATTTGGTTTGAGAGAAAAGTCATTCAGAGAGGAGATGGAGAGAAAGTCACACGCAGAGGCAGGGGTAAGTCTAGACCACAAAAAAGGTAGGGGGCAAGTAAGGGCAACCAAAAGCTCTGTTTGACTGCTAACCAGCTCAGCAGAACATCTTATCGTCTCCATAACCCAATATTTAAAGCAACTGCTGCCATTCTAAGTGGTGTGTGTGTGTGTGTGTGTGTGTGTGTGTGTGTGTGTGCTATTTCTGACTTGCCATGATCAGTGACTACCTATTCTTTTCCTGAAGGAAATGCTTGTCATCTAAAGGCATGACACTGCTTTATAATTGACAGGTCATTGACTTCTCTCTTCCTAAACACAGTTTTCCACATATTTCTCTCCTCACCGTTTCCCACTTTTGCCCTGAAGTCACCAAGTATCAGAGCATATATTGATTTAACATGAAGGACCTTGGTAGATTTTTTTGGTAAAATTTCTTGACTTCTTGATTTCTTGACTTCTTCTCAGCCATTAAAACCAGTACATAAGACGCAATTGTTTTCACAAGGTTGTGGCAGGAACAATATCTTGCAGGGCCCGTGCAATGGGGACCAGGGTTAACTGTTTTCTCCTAAAAGTCAAGGAAGCTGTCCCTAGCCTTCATTAGCACAGGGGGCCTAAGATTTAAATGTCTCCTCAGTGGCCTAAAGGCATAAAAGAGGACAATCCATGAAAAGTGGGGCCCCTCGGACTTTGAAGATGTCCCACAAAAGGAGAGGGCATCATGGCCTGTTGGGGGTCTGTACCTGTATAAGACCTTTTGGCAACTACTTTGCTCATTGTTGGTAAGGCCAAATGGAAAAATGCAGAGCTTCTGGAGTCATCCTGTGTGGTTTACACAAAGCAACGTTGAGTCCCGAGGGAGGTAAAAGGTATTTCTTCCTAAAGATGGTGATTAAGGAAGCCAGAGTAATTTGTTATACCAACTCTCCTTCCAAGGCAGGCAGGCAGACAGATGACATGATTGGTAGTTGGGTGGCACAGTGAAGAGAACTCCTGACTTGGAGTCAGAAGACGAGTTCAAATCTGGTCTCAGATACTTGACTAGTTATGTAACTCTGGGTAAGTCACTTAAGTTCTGCCTCCCTCAGTTTCTTCAACTGCAGAATGGGGATAATAAAAACAAGTACCTCCCAGTATTATTGTGAAGACAAAATGAGATAATAGTCATAAAACATTTTGCAATCCTTACAATGCTGCATGAAGGCTAATCATTAATGGCTGTCAGTGGACTAAAGGGAGATGAATAAAGACATCACGCTCACTACTGCAGCCATCTTAGATCATACTAATGTCATGGACCAGGTTGTCCAGGCCCCTGGTAAGTGGTCCAGGGTTGTCCACCTCACTAATGCCTCTTTTTTGTCTATTCCTATAACTTAATCTTAGTCAGAAATAGCCTGCTTTCACTTGTATACTTTTGTCAGTCTTCTCAGGGTTACCTGAACTCTTCTTCATGCTGCCACATTCAGGGGACTTCCTGAGGACACTGACGTACACCACTATATTAATGACACAAGGTCAACTGGGTTGGACGAGGCAATGGTGCAGAGGCCTTAGATGTGATGGTGGCTAATAAAAGGGGGTATAATATAGGGAACATAGAGAACGCAAATGATTCTGGACATGATTCAAAACAAGCTGGTGACCCTCACTTCTTCATAATCTAGATAAGAAGCCCAGAGGTTAGCTGGACTCTTGGTTTTGGAAGACCCACATTCCTTATTTGGTAGCCTGATGGCCCTCATCTACCTAAGTCATATGTAAGTCTACCTTTTTTTTGGGGGGGGGTTGCTAACAAATGGTTGTATCCCCAGAAGACCTAAAGTGACTATCCAGCATTCTCTCCCCACGGGTCCTTATGATGCGTCAGGGCTCTTGTTTTTTTTTGGAGGTCTCTGTCCATAACAATCAGATCAAGTACAGCTTTTGGCAGGCATGTCGGGTTGACTGGACAACCATTGAGTTTCTGGAGTGCAAACTCCCAGAAGCCCCACTCACTAGATCACTTTTGAAAAGTAGTTGCTTGGGGCAGGGAGGTGGTACAGTGGATAGAGCACCGGCCCTGGAGTCAGGAAGACCTGAGTTCAAATCCGGTCTCAGACCAGACACTTGACACTTACTACTTGTGTGACCCTGGGCAAGTAACTTAACCCCAATTACCTCGCAAAAAAAAAAAAAAAGGTAGTTGCTTGCCTAATCCTGGTCACTAGTGAATGATGCAGGGTCATACAATCACCTTTTGACCAGTCATCTGTTATGAGTTAGGTAATGTAAGATGGTACCTCTAATAAGGTGAGTAGGGCTGAGAAAGCCTTTATCTTTCATCATTAAATGGGACTAAATAAGATCTCTATGACATTTAAAGACATTGAAATTCTGAAGGAAAACTTGATACTTCTATTAGAATATAAGCCTATATATATGTATTTATACATATATTTATGATAGAAGCAATGTGAGGGTGTAAAATGGATAATTTCCGTTATATTAAATGAAAAAGTTTTTGTACAAATAAAACAAATGTAGCCAAGATCAGAAGGAAAGCAGAAAATTGGGGGAAAATTTTTATAGATACATTCTCAGATAAAGGTCTCATATCTCAAAGACATAAAGAACTTTGTCAAATCTATAAGAATAAAAGTCATTCTCCAATTGATAAATGGTCAAAAGAAATGAACAGGCAGTTTTCCAATGAAGAAATCAAAACAAATTTATAGCCATATGGAAAAATGCTCTAAATCATTATTGATTAGAAAAATGCAAATTAAAAGAACCTTGAGATATCATTTTATGCCTATCAGATTGGCTAAAATGATTGAAGGGGAAAGTGATAAATGTTGGAGGGGATGTAGAAAAATTGGGAGACTAATTCATTATTGGTGCAGCAGTGAACTGATCCAACCATTTTGGAGAGCAATCTGGAATTCTGCCCAAAGAGTTATTAAACTGCCTACACCCTTTTGACCCAGCAATACCACTACTAGGGCTGTTTCTCAAGATGATCAGGGAAAAAGAAAAGAACCTATATGTTCTAATATATTTATTGCAGCTCTCTTTGTGGTGGCAAAGAACTGAAAATTGTAGGGATGCCCATCAATTGTGGAATGGCTGAATGAGTTGTGATGTAATACTACTGTGCTATAAGGAATGATGGGCTCGATGATGTTAGAAAAACATGGATAGCCTTGCGTGACATAATGAAGAACAAAATGGGCAGACCCAAGAGAACACTGCATACAGTAACAACAGTATTGTTTTAAGAACGACTTTGAGTGACTAAGTCATTTTGACTATTATAAATACCCAAATTAACTACAAAGGACCTATGAAGGAAGGCACTATCTACACCCAGAGAAAGAACTAATAGGTAGAAGTATGTAGAATGATTTTACATGTATATACATATTTGTGTCTAATGGTAGCCATCTCTAGGGCAGGGGGAGGAAGAAGAAAAGGGGGAAAAAAGAAAGTTGCATGATAACTTTATTGTATAATTAAAAATAATGGCAATTTGTACATAATAGATTTACAGTTTCATACATAATCATCTTTTTTTTTTTCTCCTATATTAAGGAAATACTTGTTTTATTTATTTCTTTCTTTTTTTAGGCAATTGGGGTTAAGTGACTTGCCCCGGGTCACACAGCTAGTAAGTGTCAAGTGTTTGGTCTGAGACTGGATTTGAACTCAGGTCCACCTGACTTCAGGGTCGGTGCTCTATCCACTGTGCCACCTAGCTGCCCTGTTTTATTTCTTAAATTTAGAATACAGTAAATAAAAATTTTAAAACGACTATAAACCCTTCATCATCCTCACATAGCCTCTTCCATTTTTCAAATGTGTATTTATATTTCTACATTTATCTTGATTCTTATGTTTGCATTTCAAAGTTTCTATTCATTTCTGGTCTATCTGGTACAAAGGTTAGTTATCGCAGAGAATCACAGATTTCTGTTTGGGCCATTCTCGTTTGTAAGAAGTTGGATAGGATTTTGCACTTCCTGTACTAAACTATTCATTTTTCTTCCTTCTTTTTGTCTTGGCAGGCCCGGCAGACAGGCAGACTGAAACCAGCTGTCATTTTTACCACGTAGAAAAATTCATCTTACAGAATTCAAGGGGAAAAAAAGAGTTAAAAAGCAATCAACCAAAATCTCTTGTTCCTTCATCCCTTGAGCAGCACTAGAAATCTTCTCAGGAATCTGAGACACAACTAAAGGGTAGGGGAGTGTTTATTTATAATTCCAAGATTGCCTGAGTTGGCTCTTGCTTATTAAGCTGAGTGTTGTCCTATAAGGGTTTTCTCTAATCGGACCATAGCAGCAGGACACATACCATGCATTATGGAAGATTTCGTTTTGTAATGAAGTGTGAGTCCAAATGAAAAAGATGTTTTTCAATGTAAGAATTTATTCCTATAAAATCAGGAAATAATCATCAATTCTACAAACAAATCAGATAGTTCTGTGCGATATATCTAACCACGATTAACCACTTTGAGGCCATCAGAGGCTAGAGTTCTATACCATTTCCTTCTCTTTGCTCTGACCCAGGCATGTGGTCCAGAATGAATTCAGTCCTTGGGGAGCCTAGCCTCTAATGAGAAGGGGCATAGGTTCCCTGTTCTCCCATTTTCCCTCTAATTAAACCCCAATCCAAGTACTGGAGAGATGATGTATTTATAGCTTAGGTTTAGGTTCCTGTTTTGCTTTATTCCAAAAGGGAATGCCTTCCAAAAAGGCAATCAAACTACAGTATAAATTAGTTATTGGGGAAGGTATCTTTTCCCCTACACACAAAAGCAATGCTAAATACAAAACTCTCACAAGTGAGTATTTGAAGAAAAACAAAACAAACTGAAAGAAGGTTGAGTAGAGCTTACCTCATAACTACTCTTACGTTGATTGGGAGGCTGACACATGAACCTAATCAAAGCATAACGAAGTTGGTGTGATTACTGATGAGGTCTTTTACATTTTACCTCACCTCTGAGCTATCCAAACAACTCCCAATAAAAGTCTTCTGGTAAAAGGGCCAAACTTGGCCAATCTGCTGGATTTTATCTTCTCTGATGAAGGAATTTTCCTTGATACCAGTCAGTTTCACTCAATGAAGCCAGGACCTCCAGATCCCTGGAGCTCACAATGTTGTCTCCAAGCCTAGACATGATCATCTTGGGAGAGATATACATTTACCCAAGGTCAGGAAAGAAGAGATAGAAAAGCAAAAAAATCAGCCTGGGGCTCACGGACAAGTTTCCTTGGTAGAGACCGCTCGAACTAGTTGCCACACGGTTGAGGTTGGCAGGAAGCTGGAGAGGAAGACAAGTTCTTCTCACCTCTCATTAATAGTCTAAACCAGAGGTAGGGAACCTGCGGTCTCCAGGCCACATGTGACCCTCCAGGTCAAGTATGGTCCTTTGACTGAATCCAAACTTCACAGAACAAATCCCCTTAATAAATGTACAATTTTATATTCTTTCTAATTATGTAATAAAACTATCATGTAACTTTCTTTTGTTTTCCTTCTTCTCTCTGCCTTCATGGAAGATGGCTACCATTAGACACAAATATGTTTATACATGTAAAATCATTCTATTTACCAGTTCTTTCTCTGGACGCAGATAGCGTCTTCCTTCATAGGTCCTTTGTAGTTAATTTGGGTATTTATAATAGTCAAAATTACTTAGCCACTCAAAGTTGTTCTTGAATCGCCTTAATAAAAGGATTTGTTCTATGAAGTTTGGATTCAGGCAAAGGGCTGCACTTGAGGACTTAGAGGGTCACATGAGGCTTTGAGACTGCAGGTTCCCCACCCCTGGTCTAGGAGTTATTCAGGAGGTATAAAAATATTTATAGCTCTTTTTGAGATGGCAAAGAATGGGAATCTGAGGGGGTACTCATCAACCAGTGAATGACTGAACAAATTATGATATGTCAATGTGATGGAATGCTATAAGAAATGAAGAGGATGGTTTCAGGAAAACCTGGGAAGACTTGTATGAACTGATACATAGTGAAGTGAACAGAACCAGGAGAATGATTTATACAATGACAACAATATTATAAAGAAAAACAATTTTGATAGAATTAGATTCTAATCAGTACAGTCACCAATCAGGATTCCAGAGAATTAATAATGAAACATGTTATCCACCTCTTGACACAGAGGTAAAAGACTCAGAGTGTAGAATGAGACATGTGTATGCACATATGCATATTTGCACGTTTCGGACATAGTCAATGCAGAAATTTGTTTTGCCTGACACGTGCTTGTATAGGGATTTTGTTTTTCTTTCTCAGTTGGGGGCGAATGGAGGGGGAGGGAGAGAAGGCAGATTTCTGCCGATTTAAAAAAATAAAGTTTTATTTAAAAAATACCGGTTCCGTCCTTGGACACCAACTTCCTTTGAACCAAGTGCTAATTCTCCTCTTCAGTTTACCTGATATAGTATGGCCAGCTATTTTACATTTGTAACTGAAAATTTTTCTGTTCCTCTGATTGTATTTTTTTTTTTGGTGAAGCAGTCGGGGTTAAGTGACTTGCCCAGGGTCACACTGCTAGTAAGTATCAAGTGTCTGAGGCCAGATTTGAACTCAGGTCCTCCTGACTCCAAGGCTGTAGCTCTATCCACTGCACCACCTACCTGCCCTGTCTGATTGTATCTTGATGGTAGTGATTTTGTATAAAATTGTTGTTGACTGAAGAATGATGAGGTAGGTCACATTTACTGTTTTGGAGATCTGGAAAGAACTCTATCCCTGATTCCACTCTCATTTGCCAATGCTGTTTGGAATTTAGCCTCTCATAACACTAATCTTGCATTCCTATTTTGGGAGCATTCATCACTTATGTGTCCATCTAGGACAGTATTGTAATGGAAAATTGTCCTTCACTTGTATTGTGCTAGTGGTGATCTTCTATTGAACTGGTAGATTAGGTCCCCAGAAGGTAACTGGCCACTTATCCCCGAAGCATTCTTGAGATAACCTTGAGAGATTGAGGGGGTGAGCATGCTAGTACTAAGATTCATGAGCTCCTCCATATCAATAGACCGGTTAACATCCCTACCAATTAACATCAATTAGTTTTTACAAAGGGAAAGCACACTCTCCCCTCTACAAATCCACTTTGTGTCTGAGGACAGTGAACTCAAAGTTAAAGTGGTTGCTATTAAATATTGCCCTCCCCCCAACCCCTGCCAAGCAAGGGAGGGTACTTCCTGGCCCAGGGAATCTTTTTTTCCTTTTCAAGAATCCCTAACAAGTTCACTTCTGGGTTTGGTCTAGCCAATGGATGAGTCACTCTGGGCTTCCATGTTGTTTCAGCACCAGAATGGATCAAGCATCATTCTTCAGATCTGGTTTCTCACCAGACTTGGCCACTGTTGCTACTAGCTCATTGTAGGGCTCTTACATCTCTTTGAAGCTCATTGAGTTACAAGCTGGTATAGTCCATCTCTGAAATTCATTTATCTAAGCTCCCCCCAAGAAATAGAGGTACCATGCGTTCATGACCACACAGCAGCTGGGGAGGGAGATAAAGCAGCTGTGGCAAATTAATACTGTGGCCATGGCTGCTAACTCTCCCCTCACTTGGAGATCTATAGTATTTCTTTTTCCTGACTCAGAAAGCCACCAGGAAAAAAAGCAAGTTCTGGATCAGCAGTCAGTTAAAAAGCATTTCATCACCATGCAGTAAGACAACAGGAAACAGTCAGATAATACCAGCATGTGTTATGAAATGAGGGGCAGGCCCCCTACATTATGCACACCCAGGAGCAGGCTCACCTAGCTGACATATAGATTTGCTAACAGTCAGGACCTATTATGCACACTCTAAGGACCGGGCCCTATACCTGGCCAATAGTCCTGCTAATTCGGATTGTATCTTCATTATGGTGTTTTTGTATCAAATTATTACAAACTGATTGATGTTTACTGTTTGAAGAATCTGGAAAGACTCCTATCTCTGGTTCTGTTGTTATTTCTTAGGGCTCATTTTTTGGAATTTAGCCTCTCACACCACCTCTGCATTCTTCTTTTGGGAGCATTTATCACTCATCTGTCCATCTAGGGCACATGTGAAATAAAAGAAAATTCTGCTTTTTTTTTTTTTTTTTGGCTAGTATCATGTTGGTGGTAATTTGCTTCAGACCATCATAACCTCTGTTCTCCTCATCTTTCATCTTCACAAATAACATGAACTCATCCGTGTTTCTATTTTTTTTCAACAGGCCACTATAAACTTCTGTCTTTTCATTTGTAATGATTCTAGTAACTGAATTCAGTTGGAATGTTTATTTTCTGATATGGCATATGCTAGACATCTCAGACCATCCCTGGGTAATTCTGCCTATATATTGACTCTTGGGTTGAGCTATTTGTTTTTGCACTAATTTAGAAAGCAGGTTAGCCATTCATATCATAAACTCGGATGGCATTTCTTCTTGGACTGATTGTTATTGCTGAGTTTTGTAGATGCCATCACACCGAGGCCAATCGTCCAGCATTATTCTAGCACTTGTAAACCTTCTTGATGTGTGATTTCAGGTTTCTGTCTTCACAGACCTCACACATTCAAAAGCATATCCTCTGAATCTTTCCACTAAATTAAACATTTTATCTAGCTCAATTGCCTTCTAGCATTTTAGTTATTACTATAGCACACCTTGTCCAAAGCTCTGATAGTTTTTCCTCAGGACAGGAGTCCTATCCCAAAAAGAATGCTGACTTGAGCCTGTGATAATTCTGTGATATAGGAAACCCATATTCAGTATGAGTTACATGTGAAGCATCTTTCTCTGATTTAAGCGTACCTCCGAATTTTCCCACTGGCAAACCTTCTCTGTGCATCAAATCTTCTAGTTTTTTAATTAACTCCGACATCTCCTTGGAGGGTGATTTAGAGTTCAATTTTCACATATTCTCCCCTACTGTTACTTTATCAGGAATTTTTGAGAGAACATCTGAGCCTGGTAATTTGCAAAATACTGTGTAGTTTCTTCTGATCTTGCCCTGCTAATTATAACTTTATATTTTTCTAAAACTTGTTCAGCTCTTTTGAATAATCTTATAATGTCTTTACTCTTATGTTCAGAATATGCTATGACCAAATGCCCTTTGAAAGGTTTTTTTTTGCTTTTTTGTTTTTTTGGTTAGGCAGTGGGGTTAAGTGACTTGCCCAGGGTCACACAGCTAGTAAGTGTTATGTGTCTCAGGCCGGATTTGAACTCAGGTACTCCTGAATCCAGGGCCAGTGCCCTATCCACTGCACCCCCTAGCTGCCCCCTTTGTAGGTTTTTACATCTCTTTGCCACACAGGTCCTCTACATGTATACATCAATACTACTGTATTCAAAGTTTGTGTCCACTCTTCATTTCATGGACTTTGAGTGTATTTGTGGGATAGCATGCCCCAGACTTTTTTGGGGGGAACATTTGGTACCAACTGTTTTTTACTATGCCATATAAAAAAATGCCTTTGCTAAAGACAAATTGAGGATACTGGCTTATTGTTGATGGGGAGGGCTCCAATGGGAGATCAGGAGGAACAGTCTTATAAGTTCAGTTCCTCAGAGTTACCACTAGAACCCTAAGACAGTAATAGTCTTCAGCCATCCGTGGACCAATCTGTGAGTTTAGTGTGAGTTGGGAGGAGTCACTCCAGAGTGGGTGTTACATATACTTACATATCTACTGGTTATTTCCCATACAGAATAGAAGCTCCTTCAGTGACTGATATTTGTCTTTGTAACTCTCACATCTAACCTAGTGCTTAGCATATAGTAGGCACTTAATAAATGCTTGTTGACTGAAAGGTGACTAATTGTGTAAGGTACTCTCATTTACTTAATATACATTCCTTCCCACCTTGATGAGGGATCACAAAAGCTCTCATGTCAAAATCTCAGATTCAAAGATCTCTCTAAATCAAGAGTTGAATGTGCCCTTACATCATCTTCTGCAACATCCTCATGTATATGACATAGGGCTCTCCAGGCAAACTCTAGCCAGAGCTGGAGATAGGGAGGGGCTCATAAACAGAAGCAGAAATGTACAGGTAAATGCCTTCAGATTCCAAATAGATATTCCCAATTTAGAAAGGGTCTAAGGCACAAATAACTCCAATGCTTATGAAGAGGCCAGAGAGACAATAAATCTGTTTCTAGGGCACAGATTGCATTTATATCTCTTTGTCCCTAGCTACTCATCTGCATAAGATTCCCACAAAGCGTCTGGAAAGCGTACAACTGACTGAATTGGGGCTGATTCACTCTAAGGCAAAATGGAGTGCCTTACTGAGTGAACTGGCTTCATACGAAGGAAGACTGTTGATGAGGAAAGACTCTGCATCTTTTTTAAATTAAATTGAATTTTTTATTAATTTATCTTGATTTATCAACAATCACTTTCATA